AACAAAATATAAGACAAATGGGATTACATAAACTAAAAAGCCTTTGCACGTGAAACAATTAACAGAGACAACCTACAGATTGGGGAAAAACATTTGTAAACTGTACATCTGACAAGGGGTTAATATTCAGAATATATAAGGAGCTAAACAGCAAAATACCTCCCACAAATAATCCAGTTAAAAATGGGTAAAGAATCTTGATAGATATTTATCAAAAGAGGATTTGTAAATGGCCAACTGTAGATGAAAATATGTTCAACATCACTGGGAATCTGGTAATCAGTGGGAAAATGTAAATCAAAACCATAAGGAGATATCATCATCTTGCTCCTGTTAGAATGGTTATTATCAAAATGACAAAAGAAAACAAACGTTGGTCAAGATGTGAAAAAAAAGGGAACCCTTGTTGGTGAGAATGTAAATTAGTATAGCCATTATGGAAAACAGTCTGGAGGTTCCTGAAATAATTAAAAATATAACTATCTTTTCAGTTAAAAATATAACTATCTTTTCATAAAAGATGGACAAGGCCCCACTTGTCTATCTTTTATGGCATATGCTTGTAGGATTATGATCAAGAATTGGTTGCCTATGTACCTGATCCTGACTTTTACCCTACATCTTTCAAATAAAATAAAGAGAAAAAAAGCACTCTTTTCTAAAGAGAATAGATTTGTTCTGTACCTTTAAATCTGAGACTATTTTCTATTTAAAAATATATAAAAATATAACTATCATATAATCCAGCAATCCTAGTACTGGATATATACCCTAGGGAAATAAAATAATTATGATAAAGAGACATCTGTATTCTCATGATTATGGAAGCACTATTCACAATTGCCAAGACTTAGAATCAACCTAAATGTCCAACAACAAATACATAAAGAAAATGTGTTGTATTTATAGAATGGAATACTATTCAGCCATGAAAAAGAATGAGTGTCTTTTCATTTGAGACAAAATGGACAAACCTGGAGGATATTATGTTAAGTGAAATAAGCCAGATACAAAAAGACAAATACTGTATTATCTCACTAATATTGGAATCTTAAAACAAGGAAGTTGATTTCATAGAAGTGGAGAATAGAGTGGTGGTTGGGGAGGGGTGGGAGAAGGATGAGAAGAAGTTAAACAATGGGTACAAAGTTACAATTAGACAGAGTAATTTCTGGTATGCTACTGCACCCTAGAGTGACAGTTATTGTATATTACAAAATAGCTAACAGAGGTTTTTAAATGTTCTCAGCATAAAGAAATAATATGCAAGGTGTCAGACATGCCCACAACTCTAAATTAATAATTATACAATGTATACACATATTGAAACATCACGTTACTCCATAAATATGTTCAACTATAATGTATCAATTAAGAAAAACATAAGCCAGCATCTACCAAGAACTTACTTGTATACCACTCAAAGTGCTATTCACTATGCAGTTTGGAGTTTGGTTCTCCCAGCAATGCTGAGAGCCAAATGTGAGGAACACCCTATGTCATGGAGGGGTAGAAAGGGTGAAGTGACATCTCCCAAGGCACTGCCTGAAAAATGACAGAAGCCAGGTTTATAAGTCAGAGCTAACTATAAAACCTGTACTCTCAATCAACTATGTGGCTCTTGCCTGCTACCCAGGAAAGCCATGCATATATGAGATATCGTTAACTACAGTCTAGTCTAGCTACATTTCCAAGACAAAAGTTTCCAGATAATTGAGTCATTCTTTACGAGGGATTTAAAAAATTGTTTTGAACCCCAAGTGAAACTACCACATCCAAGAGGCATTATCTTTTTAGGCTCCTATTACTAATTCCCACTCAACTGACTTTCAGCTAAAATAATTAACTTTTTACAGAACATTTACTTATGTTTCTTATTGTGTTCTTCCTTTTGCCCTTCCATTTAAAAAAAATTTTTTTTTGCTCCTTTCCCACTGTTTTATACAGGTGGAAACTAAAGTTTAGAGAGAAAAATAGACTAGAGTAGGGTCACTATTCAAGAGCTTAAGTGGTTAGCAAGATTCCAACTAAGCTATGTTAGAACTTGTGCATTGAGATTCAAATCTCCCAAGAGTTTGTGATGTCTGACAACTCAAAAGACAAACTTCTCATTAAGCTGACAATGAAACTGCCTAAACTTCTCATTCCACACCATATGGCTGAATCCCAGCTGACAGGAAGCTCATTTCTGCAACACACTGGGCTCATTTCACTGAGTAGGTTGATGTGAGATTGGTGGGGTGGTCATTTCCAAATCCTTTTAGCACGGGCAAGCAGCAGTGTATTTATGTTGATGCTTTTTTCCCTACATTTCTACATAAAAAAGCAAATGTTCCCAACGACGGAGAGAGACGGATTTTATCCTACATTGTTCCGTAAACAAAATATCACAAACATAACCACAAACAACAGGAATATCCACCTGCTTCAAAGCAATTGACATCTACAATCATTTTCCAGTCCCTAGTCTACATAACTGTGGGTTGGAGGGTAGGGAGGAAGTTCGTAAATGATACCGACACAGGGTTTTATACACTCAGATCTAACCAGAGTGTTTGGACATTTAAAATTAGCCTGGATCTTCACAAAGTCAGATTTTAAGGCAGTGAAGTGAGTCACGAAGCACCAAGGAACTAACAGGAAGTGCCAAATTCACTTGCGTGGAATGTTCTGGGTGTGAGATGCCACCACTTCTTTCCCCTGGGCAATTATTTTAGAGCTGGTCCAGCAACATGTTCTTGAACAAGATAGCCTGACTTTTTTGAGTTTCCCCCTCCTGCCTAGAATTAACATGGAAAATACCATTGCCACAGATAGAGAAGACCATACACTATGAGAGGTGGAAAGGTCTTAGAATGCACATATTTACGCATGGAGAGTTGTGCTGGGGCTGGAGTTCAGAGGCGGGGGTGCAAGTACCACACTTATAGTAATAATAATTTAAGACAATAATACCTATCATTTACTTACTATTTCAGCTGGTGACTTACTATTTTCCATAGATTATTTCATTCAAAAAAAATTTTTTTTTGAGTTGGAGTCACACTCCTTCAACCAGGCTGTAGTGCAGTGGCATACTCATGGCCACCCCAGCATTGGCCTGCTGGGTTCTGGCAATCCTTCTTTGCCTCAGTCTTCCAAGTAGCTGGAACTACAGGTACGTGCTACATGCATGGCTAATTTTTTGATTTATTGTAGACATGAGATCTCACCATGTTGCCCTGGCTGGTCTCAACCTGTAGGCTCAGGCAATCCTCTCGCCTTGGCCTCCCAAAGTGCTGGGATTACAGGCTTGGGCCACTGTGCTCTGCCCTCATTCAATGTTTTTAGCAATCTTGGAAGACTGATACTTCCATCACATCAATTTTATAGATAGATAAACCAACAGGCACAGAGAGGCTAGATGACTTAAGGTTGTACAGCCAGTAGACTATAGAAATTGGGTTAAAATCAGGCCAGGCTCAGTGGCTTAGGCTGTAATCCCAGCACTTTGGGAGGCTGAGGCAAACAGATTGCCTGAGCCCACAGGTTTGAGACCAGCCCAGGCAACTTGGCGGGACCTTGTCTCTACAATAAATAAAAAAAAAATTAACCAGGCATAGGAGCATGCACCTGTAGATCCGGCTACTTGGAAGGCTGAGGCAGAAGGATCACAGAGCTCAGCAGGTCGATACTGGGGTAGCTGTGAGTGTGCCACTGCACTCTAGCCCAGGTGACAGAGTGAGATTCCAACTCAAAAAATAAAAAATAAAAAATAAAAAAAAATAAAAAAGAAATGGCTTAAAATCATAGGAAAATAATTCCAGAGCCAGAGGTTTTAATCATGATGCTACACTGAATTTTAGGGAGCTTAAGAAGGAAAAGTAGTATTAGTATTAACAGCAGTAGTAGAGTCAACCGCTACTGTTGACTGAGAACTATTTTGCGCTAGGCACTGCAGTAAGTGCATGTAACTTTGTCATACTTAACCCCAGGGAACACTTGTGATGGTAGACGATCTTAGCCCTACTGAGCAGAAAAGAAAACTGGCCCCGTGATATCAGCAACTTGCCCAAAGTCACACAGCTAGTGGGTGACAGCGGTGGTTAAAGCCAGAGTCCGTTCCAAAACTCTTAAACCACCATGCTAGACTGACTCGGCATACAGCCATAAAAGACTCACTTGTGTGCCTAAATTCAGTGATTCCAACAGCAAGACCATATACACATTCTTGCAAATATTTTTAACAAATTCTCAGGCCCCTTCCACCATAGATTCAAGTCACTTTTGTATCTATGAACCCACATCTTTAAAAAGCTTCCCAGATAATTCTTAATTCACAATCAGATTTAGGAATCGTTGGATCATGTATACAAGTCTTGATTATCCCAAGCACGACTGCCAGTCTGTGAGGACAAGATATGCTAAATAATTGAGACTTACTTGGATGAGCACATGTCCTCACCCAAAGATCAGTGTTGAGAGATGTGCCAAAAAGGCATCATGACTTGAGAAATTTTCACCAGGGTCCAGGCTCAGAGGCTCAACTGCCTTGCTTCAAAAGAATGCAGGAAATTGGCCTACATCATTCTTTTAGAACCGTTTGTCTTAGTTGGTTCAGGCTGCTATAACAAAGTACCACAGACCAAGTGGCTTATACACAATAGAAATTTATTTCTCCTAGTTCTGAAGGCTAGAAATCTGAGATCCAGTACCAGCCTGGTCAGGTTCTGGTGAGGGCCCTCTTCCAGGCTGCCCTCACTGTATCTTCACTTGGCAGACAGAGCACTCTGGTCTTTTCATCCCCATATGAGAGCACTAATCCCATTCTTGAGGGTTCCATACTCATGACTTCATTACTCATCAAATGCTCTATCTTCTAATACCATCACCTTGGGGGTTAGGATTTCAACATATGAGTTTTAGGGGAACACAGACATTTAGTTCATAATACCAGTTCACCTTCCCTCTAAAATGTACATAGCAGCATCAAATAAATGGAGTGATTAAAGTTTCCTTACCCAAAACTCGTAATCTTTCAGCTCCTACTACCACTTCATTATCATCGGCTGAGAAGAGCAATTTTCCAGAAACAGTTTTTACCTCAAATTTTTTGCCATAAGCTTCTACAGCTTTTGGACCTACAAGGGAGAGAGGCACAGTGAGTGGGAGAAAGGGAGGGAAAGCAGGATGAGAACAATACATTAGTCATTGAAATTGACTGCAAAAAGCATTTCATTCATACAGTATAAACACTTGACAAGATTGTATTAGACTTTAATGTTCAATGGATTGATTTTCAAAAGTTGACCATGAAAATCAGTCTCATGACTTTAGCTAAGTCTTGTCAATTCTTTTTTTTTTTTAGTCAGGTCTCACTCTGTCTTGCCTAGGCTGGAGTGCAGTGGCATGATCACAGCTTGTCACATCCTCGACCTCTTGGGCTCAGGTGAACCTTTTGTCTCAGACTGCCAAGTAGCTGGGAATACAGGTACACGCCACTACACCCAACTAATTTTTTTATCATTTGTAGAAACGAGATCTGGCTATGTTGCCCATGCTGGTCTCAAACTCCTGGACTCAGTCAATCCTCTCTCCCTGGCTTCCCAACGTGCTGGGATAACAAGCGTGAGCCACTGTGTCTGGCCTTTGTCAATTACTGTTAATCATATACTCTTGGGCTATCATTTTAAAGACTATTATGTCCTTCCTCCAAACTAATGAGAGAATGTGATTTTCCTCAGCTAACCACCAAATTATTGTCAAATAGCTATGGATTTCTGCTTAAATGTATTGAGGCCCAAGAGGCCCACCACTTCTCGAGGCAACCTCACATCTTTGGCCATCCTATGCCTAATTGACAGGAGTTCCTTTAACTTCAGTTGACATCTATTTCACTTTGTACCTTTAACCCACTGACTGCATTTGACACCAAGAGAAATCTATTTCCTCAGTGTACAGATCATTTCCTGGCAGAAATGGTTATAATATACTGCATTTAATTGCCTTAGAAGTAGCTGAATCAGCCGGGCTTGGTGGCTCAGCCTGTAATCCCGTGCCTTTGGGAGGTTGAGGTGAGTGGATTGCCTGAGCCCGCGGGTTCGAGACCCACCTGGGCAGGCGAGACCTCATCTCTACAATAAATAAAAAAATTAGCCGGGCATGGTAGCACGCGCCTGTAGTTCCAGCTACTTGGAAGGCTGAGGTGGAAGGATCACCGGAGCCCAGCGGGTCGAGGTTGCGGTGACTGGGAGCGGCCATTGCACTCCAGTCTGGGTGACAGAGTGAGATTCCAACTCAAAAAAAAAAAAAGTAGCTGAATCTTTTATGCTGGAATTTTATCCAGTAAAAAATAAACATAGAGGGTTTATTCAATAACAACAGATTCTGTTCTTGAAGGGGGGGTTATAGTCATGCATTAAGGAAGTCAAGTCCCTGATACTGTAGCACCTATATTCTGAGGGAGACAGGCCTATATAAAATTAAAAATATATTACTAAAGAAATCAAAAAACAGCAGAGAGTTTTAGGTACTATGGAAAAAGTAAGATATGTTAATGAGTTAGAATTTCTTTTTTTTTGAGTTGGAGTCTCACTCCATTATCCAGGCTGGAGTACAGTGACATGCACACGGCCACCCCAGTGTCAACCTGCTGGGCTCAGGTGATCCTTCCACTTCAGTTTTCCAAGTAGCCGGAACTACTGGCACGTGCTACCATGCCCAGCTAATGTTGTGATTTATTGTAGAGATGAGGTCCCTCCAAGTTGCCCAGGATGGTCTTGAACCCATGGACTCAGGCAATCATCTCACCTTGGCCTCCCAGAGGACGGGGATTACAGGCTTGAGCCACCACATCAGACCTGAGTTACAATTTTCTAAAGAAGGAGACTTTCTAATCTATCAGAGTAGGATGTCCCTGAACTTCATCAGAATAACCTAGGGACATAATCGTCCTTACTGAACCTAGGTCAGATCAAAGAAATTTATCTTTTGGTATAGAAATTTCTGCAAAAAAAATTTTGAGGACACCATTCAGATATCTTGTATTTTTCTATAACTGTCCAGGAGATTCTGATACAGAATATGTGTCCCCTTTTACATGTTTTTCAAGAGCGTGTCACTTAATAATAATAGCAATGAAGCTGGGCTCGGTGGCTCAGCCTATAATCCCGCGCTTTGGGAGGCTGAGGTGAGTGGATTGCCTGAGCCTGTGGGTTCGAGACCCACCTGGGCAACTTGGCGAGACCTCATTTCTACAGTAAATAAAAAAAATCAGCCGGGCATGGTAGCGCATGCCTGTAATTCTGGCTACTCAGAAGGCTGAGGCGGAAGGATTGCCGGAGCCCAGCAGGTCGAGGCTGCAGTGGCCGGGATCGGCTACTGCACTCCAGTCTGGGCGACAGAGTGAGACTCCAACTCAAAAAAAAATTAAAAATAAATATCAATGAAAGAGTCCCCAATGTCTCCCAGCCAAAGACCACTAGGAACACACCTGCAGGTGAAAAATTTGGTTTATGATTTATTGCAGTGAGGGAAAATACATACTATTAGGAACCATGGGGCATCTCAGTAAGAAGCTGTTAGAAAGGATTTGTGGGATTTGACCTTGTTAGGTTACTTTGGTGAAGGTTTAAGGAAATAAGACTTTACTCTGGATTAGACACAGTCTGGAAATGGCAGTAATTTTATGACCAGATTTCTTAATAAACCTTATCTAGAAGAAAGAAAGACAAGAGCAATGGTAAAACTGTCAGGAATAAAGAAACAGCAGTCACTCATATTAGCCAAGATTGGGCCATATTTGTTCTTTTTTTGTGGTTTGGACAATGTTTATGTTTTTGCCTGCATTTGGACATGATCAGAGTTGTCCTTGTATTTTTTGTGTTTTGTTTTGTCTTAATCCATTATGGTCACTGAGTGGCCTTGTCTGGTGTTGATGTTCTGTGAAATTATTTATATTCAAGCAGGAAAACATTAAGGCTTGGCTGACAGTGTCAGCCAGCTCATCCCTAGACATCTGGGGCACCTTTTCTCTTTGTCAAGACTATTGAACTAGGAATCAGAAGACATGAATTATGTCCCAACTCACTCCATTTTCTGGTAATGTGACTTTGGGAAAATCATGTGATCTTTTTGAACCTCAGTTTCTGCATCTATAAAATCAGACTATCATCACCTACTCTAGCCACCTCACAAAGTTAGATACATTGAAAGAAACAAATTATATCATGTTTATAAAAAGAAATCTGTGGATGGAAAAGTGCTGTGAGGTGTAGGAGACCGCTTTCATGGTCATTATCACCAAGGTCATCTTGTGTCACCATTTTTCTGTTGCAATAGTGACAACACATTGAAAAGAATCAATGATGAGTACCTATTAGTGTCCATTCCTCATTGATGTAATCATGTCTGCTTGGCAGACCTCATCTCTGGCCACTACACCTATCCCACCTACCCCTCCAACACAAAGAAGGGCATTGGAAAGGCTCCTTTACTAGCAGGAGATTGAAGAAGCAGGAACAGGACAGAGCTTCCAAGCGTCATGAGACCCGGATGTCATCTTGTCCACTGCCCTCATGCTGCAGGTAAAATTGAATGGTGGTGAGGCTGATGGCTCTCACTGAGTGAACGAATGGCAGATCTTGGTCTGGAATGGAGTGCTTAGAATTGTTCCACAGAATAAAAGTGACATTTATTCACTTGGGAAGAAGAAGGTGGCTGGAGCCTGCATGTCTGAAGCAGCTAGGAGATGGGCTGTTTAAAGATGAGGAAAAGTAGAAGACTAGAGTCAGGAGCCAGAGGGAGATCTTGAAAGAACCGAGATGTCTAATGAGGACTGCATCAACACCTTTGGTAAAATCTACGATATATTTGACAATACTTTAGGCTTACTATCTTTTTTTTTTTTTTTGAGGTAGGGGAAATTGGGGATGAGGAGTAATAAAGTGTTAATGAATGAATGCATGACCTTAGAATGGGCATAGGGTGAGCACAGTTTGTCCTTCCTGGAGCCATTCATATTGCAAAGCAGAGGTATGACTCAGGGGACACAAATGCTTGGACTTTGCCTCTGTGGATCGGGGCAACATCAGATCTGGTCCCTGAGGGGTCGAGGACACCCTTCTGTGCATAAACTGAGTTTACACTGAACTCATGAACAGTTATGAGACATACAGGAGAGTGTGTTAAAGAGACTGTAGCAATCCGAGACACAAAGCACAATTAAGTTATCTTGCTTTTCAGGGCTTCACAGAACACAAAATGGAATTTACCAAGGGCCAGAGCCATTTGGGTATCTAAAGCTCAGTAATTGGTAGTTTTAGCCAAAACCCCACAGAGCAACTGCTGGCTCAATGATGCAGACGGCTTGTGTTTTGTTGATTTCACCTGGGGCTGCCAAACTTCCCTGGACATGGCTGGAATCTTAAAAAATGACTCTAGAGGGAAATGCAAATGGAGCTGGAGACAGCTCAGGAGGTCCCTTGTTGAACCCATTGTTCCTCTCCGGGATGGAAAAACAATATCACTATTCCTAATGTGAAACTAATCTCCAGTTAATCCCCCTCTGTGTAGTCCATGTGTGAAGTGCCTCCTTAATCAATTTCCTAAACAGCAGGGAGAGCTGGAGACCATCAGGATGCATCTGTGGTCCCCAAGTCATGCCACTGCCAGGAATCCAGGAGCTGTAGAGGCCTGGTGGCCATCCAGCCTAATTTTTCTCTCCAGTTCCCTTGACACTAGGGCCCTTCCCCACCCACACACACACTGCTTTCCAAGGCACCCTCCTGCTTGCTTTTCTCCTTATAGGTAGGTATGTTGCCTGTCTGGACCCACTCTTGATATACTAAATCAGCAGCCTTCTGGGCCTAATATCCACTTGTGGCCTAATTTAGGAACTTAACTATCACATACAGCACTGTTTCCTGTGAAAAGACTAACCTGAATATCTAACCTGTGAATTTCGAAAGGATTTTGGAGACATTCTTTAGAGAAGCAGAATACCTGATTCCTAGGGACTGCCTTGGTAGGCCTCACTGCTTGGAGGACAGGAGTGCTTTCTAGTAAGTCCACCCCCCCAGTATAATAGGCATTGGAAGGTGCTGTCTGCTGGCACTGATGGGAGCTTTCCACTGTGCGAATGGATGGCACGTAAAAGGAAAACCCTGACAGAAACCTTCAGGGGTGTGTGTGTGTGTGTGTGTTTAAAATGATATTTTAGTACATGCATTATCCTCTCTAGAAATCGCCCTAGGGACACAGAAAGACTAAGACTACTGGAGGGATGAAAGCAAAGGAGAAGAGAGAGGGAAGGAGGGGGGAGGAGGAAGAAAAAGGGAGAAGAGGAAGGAGGAGAGAGAAAAGGAGGGTGGAAGGAGAGAGGGAAGGAAAACAGAGGTAGAAGAGATAGAATAGGAAGATAAGGACTGAGGGGGAGAGAAAAGGAGTGTGGGGGGAGAGTGAGTGGGGAGAGTGAGTGGGGAGAGAAGGCAGAGCAGGAAGTGGGATGGGGAGGAGGAGAGGGAAGGAAGCAGAAGAAGGTGCGGGCAAACGAAGAGAGACTGACTGAGAGTCTTTTGCTGAATAACAGTCATTTGGGCACTTCCAGCTTCATCAAAACACAATCTCTCAAGTAAACCAAATCTCCCACTGCAAATAGATGGCAAACGATCAACAGGCTAAATAAGTTCCTTTTGAAGGCGGGAATCTGGGAGCTGGAGGTTGGATTTCTCTCTCTCCTGGAGGCAATGTTCACACACGCCACTTAAATCACTGCCTACTGAAGTTGTTTATTTAATTATTTAGCATTGTGACTGCAGGCCAGATGTGATATAAGCAAGGCCCACGATCCAGTCGTCGCAGGCTGAAACGACATGTTTGTGGAATATGGACTCTGCTGTGCAGCACTTCCCTCCATCCCCGCCTTCCTCGACTGGCGGATGGTCCAAGTGGCCCACTGGCTGTGAGTCTCTGGACATCCATATGCAGCACTTCTGGGGGTACAGGGCTGCGAGGAGTGAGGACAGGAGGCACCTGTTGCCCTGTGGCTTGTTTATTAGTGGGGTTCCAGATATTTTATTAACAGCAGCATTTCAAGGCATTCGAGTAACTGGCTTCTCAAAATGTCCATCTGTATACTTTTCTCTTAGCCCTGAAGCCAAACAAATGGCATTTACTGTCTGTAAGTATAACAATGCCATTCAGACATAACATTCCTTTTCCCTTCCACCGTGGGGGTGTATAATGCCCCCTCTGTTTACTGCTGTTTATAACCTTCAGAGGGGCATGAATCACACGGCTGAACACATTACCAAGCCACGAGGCCCATGTTTATCATCATAATCATTATTGTGAGTAACCAATCCTTGTTTAAGTTTCAGAAAGATGCAGCTTAAAACCCAGTGGGTACTTATCCCAGCTGTTAGGCACAGATCTGCTATATGAAAAGGAACTGCACAAACATATTCAGGGGAGACAGATTTGCATCTTGCAATGGAGTTAGGTTCAAAGTCAGCACGTATGGCAAATATGGCCTGGCTTCAAACTATCATTAAAAATCCCTTTCACAGCCCATAAAGTGTGGTGCATGGCTCTGTGGACACCGTGCTCTTCTCTCAATCAATCCCACACAGCCAGCATTGAGCAGGGAGCTTTTTTTTGGTTGAGCAGCAGATGAAGCAGTTGGCTTCTACTTAGGGGCCATGTTCCATGCAAAATAGTTTCTCCCCTCCCCCCGACCAAGCAGGTATCAATGGATTTAATAAGCTCAATGTGTATATAGACGGGATCTCACCCTTCAGTAGAATCATAAAATACATGCTACATTCTCTTTCTCAACTCAGTAAATGTGATAGTAGATGTTCTTTTCAAGTTCACTTGGTGTTTCCTTTGACCTTTAATTCTACATTTTTTGAGTGTTTAGCCTGGACTAGGCCCTGCTAAGTTCTTCTTTTCTTACCTGTTATCAGCTGAGTTAGCACTTTAGTCTGGTCATTGAGAATGTTCACTGTAACATTTCTGGCAGATTTGAAGTACAGCGCATTACCCTACAATAAGAGAATAACAGAAAAACATATGAAAATGGCAGATGTCTAAACAAAACAAACTCATTGCAACTCTAAGGGCCCAAACTGACTTTAGCCAAGTCTCAGTTGATATGTCTTTATTCAAAAAGTCCAAACGTTTAATGATCGCCACATATGTGATAACTGATTGGCATTCATCTAAAACAGATTCCTCCAAAGAGACAGACACTCACACAGACACAGACACATACACATATACATAATATAGATTTCCGCAGGATACACATTGTTACAGCTGAATTAGAGATAACTGGGACATAGAGCCCTTTAGACTTTATTAAAGACATTAGTCAGCCTGGGTACACAGAATGATCAGGGATAACTGATAATCTCCTAACCTCATCCTTTAAACAGGAACTTTCTGCTCCTGTGAAATACCCCAAATCTGCCCATTGGGCATGCCCACCAACTATCAGAATCCTTCGTTGAGATGTTTACAATACATGTAGGCAAAACCAAGGAAATGTGTAAGCTTCTGCCCCCTCTTTCTTCCTTTTCTTGTCTCCAGGTTCCTTTTTCTCCAGGTATTCTGTGCCTTCATCTATCCTCCCTTTTATCACAAGCGCTTCCCCATCCCTCGATCACACCATGGTAGACATTTCTGAGCATGACTCAGAACAGGGCTTGGCACATTTCATCTGCAAAGGGCTTGACAGTAAATATTTTAGGCTGTGGATGTACAGTCTCTGTTGTAATCACTCAACTCTGCTATTTTGGTGTCAAAACAGACTTAGAACATATACAAACAAAGGAATTATGACTGTATTTCATTAAGCTTTATTCACAGACAATGACATATTTCATATAAGTTAAATTTTATATTTAAAATTTAACATAATCTTAAAGCATCATGATATTTTATTCTTTTTGTTTTGTCCCCTCTCTCCCATCATTTAATTATGTAAAAACTATTCTTAGATCACTGGCAACATAAGAACAGGCAGAGGACTGGATATAGCCCAAAGGCCATTGTTTGCCAACTCCTGGTTTAGAAATTCTCCTTTTCTTGGAGTAAACTGAAGCTGTAAACTAAAGGATGAATCTCTGACAGAAAACATGTCAGTATCGTCAAGTTGCTATTGGAAAAACAAATTAAGTCGTCACTCCTGTCTTTTTGACCCTTTGTCACCACATGGCATATACCTGGCTGAAAATTTAATAATATCTCTATACGTCAAGTCCCAAATCCTAAAAACCATTATCCAAGATGTGAGGAAGCTGGAGATAAACAAAACTCAGTCTTTACCTTTAAAGTCTTATGTTCTAATAGTGACAATGCCTGGTTACAAATATGCTAGACAGAGAACAATAAGAATGGATAGGGAGCTACAAAGTGTTTGGGGGACTTTCCTAAAGGTGGAATCATTCTCAGCTTCAGGCTATGAATTGAGAAGCAAAGGAGACTCCCTGAAGGAATTAATACTTGATCGGAGCCCTGAAAGAGAATACAGACACAGACTCCTTAGTTGCAGTTAGGTTCATGCGGTGACGTTCTGGAACGTTGAAGAGACACTTCTCAAAAGCAGACATACAACCAGCCAGCAAACATATGAAAAAATCTCAGTATCACTCATCACCAGAGAACTGAAAATCAAAACCACAATGAGGTACCATTCACAGTAGTCAGACTGGCTATTATTACAAAGACAAAAAACATCAGATGTCAGTGAGGTTAAGGAGAAAAGGGAACACTCACACACCGTTGGTAGGCGTATAAGCTAGTTTGGCCTCTGTGGAAAGCAGTTTGGAAATTTCTCAAAGTACTAAAAATAGAGCTAGCACTTGACCTAGTGACCCCATTACTGAGTATGTATCCAGAAGAACTTAAATCATTCTACCAAAAGGACACTTGTACTCGTATGTTTATTGCAGCACGATTTACAATAGCAGAAACAGGGCACTAACCTAAACTAGTGATAGACTAGATACAGCAAATGTGGTACGTGTACACCATGGAATACTAGGCAGCCATAAAAAAAAAATCTATTGTAGCAACATGAATACAGCTGGAGGTCATCGTCCTAAATGAATTAATGCACAAACAGGAAACCGAATACTACCAAATACTATTTATTCTCACAAGTGAGAGCTAAATACTGCGTACATGTGCCATAAAGATGGGAACAGACACTGGGAACTCCTAAAGAGGGGGAGTGATGGGGGTAGAAAAAGGATTGAAAAACTATCCACTGGGTATCACGTTCACTATTTGGGTAATGGGTTCAATAGACGCCAAAACCTCAGCATCATGCAATATATCCATATAACAAACCAGCCCATGTGCCCCCTGAATCTAAATACATATATATTAGATATAAACATATATATCTAATATATATTAGATACAGACATGATTTTATCAAGTTGAAATTTAAAAAAAAAGTCAGGGAAGTAATAAAATTGTGGGCTGACTGTCCAATGTCTTTTTCCTTCTAAAATTGGTGGGATCACAGACTGAATTAGCCAGCCCAGCCTAGTTCCTGCACATGGCAGACGGCAAGGCCATATGCTAAACAGCACCCAACACCCAGGCCAAAGGTGTCTTTCTCAAGTGGAGAAGAAAGCAGGGAGTGGCAGCCACCATAGGCAGACTGTCCAGAGTCATGGTCTTTCTCATCTGAGGTTAACTGCTAAAATGGGTAACCATGCAGACCCTGAATAACCAGTCGCCCTTGGGTGAGAGCTACTGTCAGGGAAAGAGACAGTGACTTTTGACACATCAGGCAGCCATGGGTTCAGTGTAATCCCCCACAATGGTCTGAAATTAAAGTTTTCTCTAATGGAAATCTTTTTAACTGGATCAGAGAAGAAGTGCATTTAATCTAATATTGTCACAGTTTTGTTTTTCCTGTCCCTAAAGAAACAAGTATCAGTCTAAAATAGTCTCTTTGGCATTGTCTCTTAGCAGTTCTATTTAAATCTTCAAAACAATTCAAGTAAAGTAAGAATGCAGAACCTGGAACCTGAACAGGAGGCTATATGTTTCTAGAAGTCAAAGTACTAATGTTTCTTTACATATACTTAGCAATCTGGCACTGCAAAGAGAAGAATGGCCTAGAATCAGAGAACTGGATAAGTTAAATTCTGCTACCACTGATTATCGTGTGATATTGAGCAAATCACTTAACTGTTCTGTATTCCATTCTCCTCATTCTCAGCCATCGGCACCAATGTCATTACCAAGCTCACTGCTGACATCATAGAGCACCCACTATGTGTCAGGTATGGTGCCAGGCATCTATTAAGTCTTCAGCAATTATTAGGGTAAGAAAAGGAGGAATCGTGAAGAGTAGAGGTGGGGAAGAGAAAGGAGAGAAGGAAGGTGGGGGCAGGAGTAATGGGGGTGGAAAGGGGAGACGGAGAGATGGAGAGAAATAGGGAAGACAACCTTACTTGTGTCTGCTTAATCTTCCTAAATTATCTGTAGGGTGAGTCAGGGATTTCTTCTACTTTCAACACCCTCTATTCCCATATTTCTAAGGATCATCCTATGTGCAGTTGGCTCACCGTTGTCTTTCAAATCTCAGTATCTTCAAATGCACCTGCCCTTAAATATTCAAATAATTCCCGGAAAAAAAATCTCATAACAGCTTAGCTCAAAGTTGACAGTAAGAGACACAGTAAAACTACCTATTCTTTTTATGTTACCATGTGAAAATATTATACTTTAGCACTAATTGTTCGAATATGCTATCATCCTAGGAAACAGAGTCTTTGCTACGTTAGGGCTTAAACAAAGAGCCTCATTTTAGCCTGCCACATACCTGATAACAGAAAGATTACCAGAAAACAAAACAAAACAATACAAGTAAGCTACCAAATGTGAAGAACCTCATATGCCAGATGGGTCAGTGTGATTTTTATTTTGTTCTCTGAATCCACCCATTGAGATGAAACCAGGAAAATACCAGCCAAGCAAAGCATCCTTGGAGGTCTCTGTGGTATTAAAACAAGCAGGGGAAACACTCTCTAGTGTCTGAAGAATCAGGCGGAAGGATCAGCTGGTAGATGCTGGGGTGACCGTAAGTGTGTAACTGTACTCTAGCCTGGGCAGTTGGAGTAAGATGCCAACTCATTTAAAAAAAAAAAAAAATGCATCATTTATTCTTACAACAAAACAGAACCTGTAAATGTCAAACACTACATAGTTTATAACCAAGAGCAGCAATTCACACCTATCATCACTGCAAGAGCTTTCAACTTTTCTGGATGTTTTGTCAGATATTTCTCTCTCGCTAGCCAAAAATATGCTTCTATGCTATCTCCAGACTTATCAGCTTCAGATGTTATCCTGTGAATTTCCCCAATTGCATGAACTCCTCTGTATAGCTTTGGTAAAATCAATATTCAGAATTTACATTAATATAGCTATGTATATATTATCCACAGCTGAGTCAAGTAGTGTACTTTAACTACATTTCCTTTCTTGTACTTTTTTTTCTCTTTCTGGAGTCAATAAATGCTTCATTTAAAAAAAATGCTTAGTTTTCTAGCTTTTTTCTCTCCTATCGTTCAATTCCTTTTTTTTTTTTTTTGAGTTGGAGTCTCACTCTGTCACCCAGACTGGAGTGCAGTGGCATGCTCCCGGCCACCATAGCCTCGACCTGCTGGGCTCCAGCAATCCTTCTGCCTCAGCTTTCCAAGTAGCCAGAACTATAGGCACCTGGCTAGATTTTGATTTATTGTAGAGATGAGGTCTTGCCAAGCTGCCCAGGAGGGTCTCGAATGCATGGGCTCAGGCAATCCACTTGCCTCAGCCTTCCAAAGTGCTGGGATTACAGGCTGAGCCACTGAGCCTAGTCCAATTCCTTTTCTTTAGGTTCTATTTTCTGATAGATACCTTCAACTTTAAGTTCTAATTTTCTACTGATTTTTAAAAATATTTCTACTATCAATTTCAGGACCATTAAAAAAGTTATTTGAATCTTTTTATGTCATCCCTTCCTTATGTAATTGACAAA